ACCTAACTATTTAATAAATAAAATAAACAACTATGCTGTCATCCATAACCGACACCATGCACCATTAATAAAAAAATAAATAAAAGTCTGTCTCAATTCCTCCTCCGTAGACGACTTCCACTACTGTTCCTGACCACCACTCAGTTCCTCCTCCTCCATTTCGTGCTGCCCGTCGATCAACATGACTTAATTAGACCCATTCAACTCACTCCCACCCCATGACTTAATTACATACCATTTCAAAATTCCTAATACATTTTCTATGGTTCGGGGTCTGAGTGCAGAAGGGTCGACATTGCTTAATCAGTTTGGTCCAAGAGTCCATTTCCATTTTTCTTTTACTGGAAACAGGCACATACATTAAGTCACTTTAGCTCAAAGTTCAAAAAAAAAATTTCACCAGCAGATTCATAAATGTGCAGATGAGTTATTTATAGTGAAGGACAGCGAAATTTTATACCTTGCATGTAGTGGATATGAGCCTCACAACTCAGGTCCGTTTGCCCTTGATGCCTGCTGGAACTGAATATACAATGGGCTTGAAATACAGATATGGTAGATGAGATGCAAACTTCACAGATTCAATTTATTCAAGAATTGAACTGGGGTCTTTAGGGCTCTACAGATTACATATTCAAAGACAGAGACACATATCAAACTCAAGTTTTATACCTTTCAAAAATTATGGATCTACGATTTTCAGTGTCTTTGCTCTTTAGATCTAAAATGAACATGCATGAATTTTTCTATGAATTTTTGAATTGCTGATCTTACTAAACAAGAACATAAAATGGAGCTCAGTGGGTTATAACTTTAAATGACGGATCTAGAACGGAGACAACTTCGTAGTGGTTTTTCCTTGAAATGCGATTTGGGGTTGTACCAGTGGTTCCATCGTCTTTTTTTATTTTTTATTTTACAGGTCTCAGGTCCCTGCAAAAGAAACAACACAAGCATGAGGAGCTGAAGATTTTTTCTTGTATGGTATATTTCAATCTGTGAACCTGAGTGCATGAATTGGCAAGGGAGGGTGAGAAGTTTACCTCTGATTGCGTGGGCACCAAGATCAGTGCTGCTACCCTTCTGATGATGCAGTAAATCCATGGTTGCAAGGTCTTATGGGTTGATGATGAAAGATTAAGGTTTGGTTTGTATAAATGGAGGTCAGGGTTTGAGAAAATGTGGAGAGAGGAGCTGCAGTTTTAGGGTCTGCTTGGAAGAAGGGAGAGAGAAATGAGGGAGGTAAGCCTCTGGGCTTGAGGTGAAGACTTTTGAAAGAGGGAGACAACGATAGAACCGACATCTTATTTTTTGTCTAAAAAATGGCGGGAAATATCCCACCCAAAATTTTGTCACTTGAGATACATATTTAAAAAAATAAAAACACCAACCTGTCGGCTACAACTGACAGGAAGTTTTAAAATATTTAAAAATAATTTTTAGCGTCGGGTAGAAGCGACACAATTCTCTTTTTAACCAATACTAACTTTATGTTAGTTGAAAGAGACACGGTTTTCTGTTTATACGACACCACCATTTAAAAAGATAAAAAGCTATGTCGGTTATTGTAAGATCCCACATCGCTCAGGGGTGAGGATCTTGTAAGCCTTATATGTATATTCTCATCTCTACCTAGCATGAGGCTTTTTGGAAGCTCACTGGTTTCGAGTTCCGTAGGAACTCCGAAGTTAAGCGAGTTCGCGCCAAAGCAATCCCAAAATGGGTGACCCATCAAGAAGTTCTCGTGTGAGTTCCCATAAACAAAACACGTGAGGGCGTGGTCGGGGCCCAAAGCAGACAATATCGTACTACAGTGGAGTCGAGTCGGGGATGTGGTGAGGGGCCGGGGTGGGATGTGACAATCTGGTATCAGAGCCAATCCCTGGCCGAAAGTGTGCCGATGAGGACGTCGGGCCCTTAAGGGGGGTGGATTGTTAGATCCCACATCGCTCAGGGGTGAGGATCCTTTAAGCTTTATATGTATATTCCCATCTTTACCTACCATGAGGCCTTTTGGGGGCTCACTGGCTTCAGTTCTGTAAGAACTCCGAAGTTAAGCGAGTTTGCACGAGAGCAATCCTAAGATAGGTGACCCACTAGGAAATTCTCGTGTGAGTTCCCATAAACAAAATCGTGAGGGCGTGGTCGGGGGCCTAAAGCGAACAATATCGTGCTATGGTGGAGTCGAGCCCGGGATGTGGTGGGGGCTCGGACCGGAATGTGACAGTTATAAACGACATTAACAGTCTATGTCGGTTATAAGCGACATATAAAACCGATATCAACCATCGACACAATAAACCACTTTTGTAGTAGTATGAATTAAGTTATTAAAGGCGCATCAAGACACTACAAATGAGCTATTGATCACAATTAATCATTAGCAACTAAAAAGGGTGGTGATAGCCACACACCACTTTTTATCTCTCCCACATTTCTGTTAATTTATGTTTTATTATCATCTTCAATTTATTTGATCTAACGATTGAAAATTAAGAGTTGTGTGAAAACTAAAAAGAAATATGTGTATAACATCACCCTTAAAAAATTATGAAAGTTAATATAATATAGGTTAGCTAGTCTACATATCCATAAACGTCAAAAAAGAGGGAGAAGGATTATCTCCCCTCTTTTTCTCCCTTTTCTTCCTTCCCATCCTATTTGAACAGTCATGGTTAAGCCACATTAACATCTTATATTAATTTTATTTTTATAGAAAGAGAAAGACAAAATAAAGAGAATGAGAGGACGAAATGGAAAGGGATGGAAATAATATGGGAGAGAATAATAGTGCGAAAAAAAAAAAGCCCTAACAAAAAGTTAAAAACTGATTGGAAAGATATCGTTCGTATCCTGAAATTACAGGTTCATTTAATCATAACACTCATCTCAATTAGTATTTTTAAAGGAAATAATTAGACACCTTGTGCCCTACCCACGCCATATTATTCAATTTCAATAGAAGTGAGTAGGGTTTTATGATAGAGTTAGCTAGCATGGGTGGTTAGCTGGTACCACATGCTGAAATTCTAATAATATAGATATATAATGAACAGCACATATGAATCATACAGTGGATGTGAACTGAAATCAAACAAGGACTAAAATTATTAGACGAGTCAAATTACTTATGTATATATAAAGGTTTGGTCTTTGAACTACTTTAAGCCTTGCTCTTTTAATTTAATCTCAAAGCGTTCAGAATCAAAGAATTAAGACTCCATAATTTAGTCATTAATTTTAAATGTAGGTTACTTTCTTTTCAATTAGAGCAATTATAAAAGATTAACTCCCCAAGACTATATTAAAATAATGACAAACATATAAAACGAATCGAACCAAATTGAATAAATATTGATAAATTAGGCAAGTCAAATTACACATAAAAACATTAATAGTGGTTCATAATACTGCATTGTTCAATACCCATACATCATATATGTGGGTTAGATGGTTGCATTGTGTCTAATTGTCCCTAGACCTGGCATTTTGGACCCGACCCATTAGTATTCGTATTTGGGTGGATGCTTAATGGGTGAACCTGTTAAATAACGGGTTTGGGTCAACCTGTTAGACCTGTTAGCACCCGTTAGTTGATGATGTTTTAGTAATTTCAGTCAAGTCTTAACAACAAAAAATAAACTCTATGAAATAATAATAATAATAATAATAATAATAATTGTTAACGGATGAAACGGGTGACCCGTTGGCTTAACGGGCTGAGTTCAGATGACCCGTTAACTTAACGGGTCGGGTTGAACCCGACCCAAACCTAATAAATCCAACCCGTTTACAGGTCTAATTGTCCCTTCCAAGGGATTTGAGTTCTGATTATAAATCTTAATGACAAGTGAACACAAATAAAGATTAGAAGTTGATTAAACATTTGATACAAATAGTGGGACAGACCAATTGTAGATGTAAGTGAAGTTATTGATTGATTGCTTCATCCGATTACCCAAATGATTGAAATTTGCAGGGGCTCTAGATTTCCTCTCGTTTTCTTGATTAAATATGGATATTAATTATGTTCCAAACAACACATAAGAAAACTGCTAGGAAAAAACCCATTGACCTTTTTTACTATTCCATGTCCTCGTCACTGTTTGTTCTACTGCTTAAAATTTCATATCTCCATGAGTTATATGATTATATATATTAAGCACCATACAATCAAACTTAGAAGAAAATAACCAAACAAGAGTGAGAATGGGTAACAAACAGTATCAACAAATAAGTGAATAAGTAGTGGCAGGAGACAATGTGCTCTACAATCAGATATATATTCTCTTGTATTTATGTGACACATGATAAATGTTGTTGATACAAAAAAATTTATTATGGATGACACTGTAAATTATTCTATGAAATTATTGAATTATGTTTAACAACAAACGCTGAGATGAAGGCACACAAGATGCCCCTTGAGGGTAGCTAGCACTAACGGGTAAAAATTAAGAAACAAAAAATAGAACGAAGAAATAAGTGAACAAGTAGCGTGAGAGATATATGGTGCAGAAGATATATCTTTTTGGATAGAATGTGCTCCAATACCAAAAGATATATCCTCTTATCTGCAACACTCATTACGTGACACGTGATGAGTGTTGTAGACACAAGAGGATATATTCCAGCTACATAATAGATTATCTTGTGAAATTGTTAAACAATGTTAAACAACACATGCCAAGACGAATGCACACATGGCGAGAGTAGCTAACATTAACGGGTGGTTAGTTTACATGACAGAATTTTTTTTTCTAACAAAGTGAGTAATTTGTTACTAGTACCACTACTACCACAAGAAGAATCGATAAATGGTTTATTGGGCTTCTCCAATATTAAAGCCCATTGAAGAGCTAAAAGACAACACCAAACGAGGATATTTATGTTGGGCCTTAGAAAAATGGATCTCCTTTACGGGTCAACAATAAAGACGATAAACGCACCGTTTTATCCCTCTCTCTCTCCCCTGTCTCTCTCTGTTTCCCTCCCAAAAGACGAAGCATTTCAAATCTCTCTCTCTCTCTCTCTCTCTCTCTCTCATGGACTTCACTACAGGTACTCAGAGAAAACCCTAATTTCTTCCTTCAATTTTTCTCCATTTCCCTATTCAATTTCCATTACTAAAGCAATACATTTCAGGTGATGCAGTCGCCGATCGAGAGAAACAAGGTGAAGCGATTTATCGGAGAAGAAAGCCCCCAAAACCACTTCCAGATTTAGAGCCCTCGTAAGTTCAAATCCAATCTCTTTTGGTTTTCGAAATTGAAAAGTTTCTAAATTTGTGCTCTTAATGTGTTTGTGATGTTGTCTGATCACAGAAAGCAGGCGTGTTCGACTCGCTATGTGGGAGGAAGGGCGAGTGTGGCATCTGATGCTGCCGTCGGAGCTCTGGTCAGGAAAACCAGTTGGTCTCGATCCCTTTCGACAAGGTTCGTTTCGAATTCCCCACCTTCTCTCTTCGATTCTCGGCTCAATTCTCTGGTTCGATTCATCCTGGATTGCAATTGAACTTCTTGTGTGTATTGTCTTTGAATTTTGAGCTATTGGGTTTGTGTGTATTATGCATTTATGGTTATCTAGTTTCGATTTGAATGTTTCTGGTATTTGAGACTCTAGCCATCTTTTACAGAATGTTGATACACTGGTTATCTGGTATTTTGGGCTCAAGACCTTTGTGACAGAAAGTGATCAATGGCTGTTAATTGGCCACATCACCCAAGGCTTGGTGGGTTGATTTTAGCCACTTGTTTTGTGGCTTCCATCACACAGTTTCTACTGTTACTCTGGTACTTGAGATTTTGTGTACGAGGGGTAATCTCTCTTCGTTGTTCGTTGCACAGCAGCTCCACTTTTCGGTTGGTTCTCCTCTTTGGTCCGTTCTGTTTGCTAGTATCGATTGCTATGTAATAGCTCTCTTTTGATCACTTTTCTGTATCTGTCTGTAAGCAAGAATCTGAGCATTGTTCTTGGGTCATCTGTGTGAGAGTGGATTTGGGACCTTAGTGGAATTTCTTCGCGGTCTTAGAACTGGTTCCTTGCTTTATTGGGTGACATACCTTTTCTTTTGCTTCTGGGTTATGTGATTTGGGGTTGCTTAGTATGTGGTTAGTGGTGATAGGATGTCTTGGCTGGCACCCATTTGCTGGATTTCTAACAAGCTTGTAACTTTTTCTTAAGTAATATAACTACTATTTCATCCCAGATTTTGATTTAGTTTTTCCTTTTTTTTTTTTTTTTTTTTTGTGCATGGTAGAGGGAGGACAAGTATTGCTGTTGGTGCTTTCTTTGAATATCATCCTTCACAGAAGGAGCCCAAAAGAAGAGGAAAAAGAAAGGGAAAGGCTCCTCTTCCCAAAGTATTGACTCTTTTACTCTTAAAGAAAATTTGTGATTTTAGTATTACATGCTGTTGTTGGTACTGCAATGCCTCAATTGTATCTACTCTATCAGTGCATTTTCACGTTGATTTGTTTATGCTGTTTTTAATGTTTCGAATGTCTAGGGAAAGTACAAATTCGAAGAGGAGAAGGTGTACTTTCAAGAGGTTGATGCCTTTGATTTGTTGGTGGAGAGCCCCTCTCCCAAACCTACTACATGGGTTGCCGGCAACCCAGCAGATGATGCTGCATTACCCAAATTGTGCTCACCATTAGATAAATGGTTATTCAAGAAGTTCAATTTCACATTTGTCCCTTCTAGAACATTGTCTAAGATACTGCAAACTTCTGCCATTCGGCCTATGCCTTTGGAAACTGTTGGTGGTAGGAATTTCACATCTTCAAGTTTGAAAACCCCACAAAACTATACTAAATTCAGTTCTCGCTTGCCCTGTACCCAAAGCATATTGGACTTCAGTTTGGTTGAATTTAGTGTGCGAGAGAGTGGAAGCAAAGAATCAACTGGCCGATGCAGGGAATGATGGTTGTGAAGATATAGAAGCTTCTGTAAAGAAACTCTCTCTAGCATCATCTTCATCCGATAGTGAACAGTTAGATCCCTTTGGTGCCCTGTTAAGATTATGTGGCCAGTTGGCTCCCTTAAAATTTGGGGACGTGTTCTCTACATACTGGTAAGTTCCTTAATTGGAATCTGTATGCATTTACAAGTTGAATTTTTGTTAATAATGTTTAATTTGATCCTGCTTTCATAAGTTGACAAAAGATGATCATTTCTTGAAACAGTGACCTAGAAAAAATTAACAAAATTGGTGAAGGAACATTTGGAGAAGCTTTCATGGCTGGTAGCTATGTTTGCAAAATAGTCCCAATTGATGGCAACTTACTTGTGAACGGGGAAGTGCAAAAGGTACTTAGTTCAATAATATGCCTTCTAGTGAAGGGATTTGTTGCTTAGTTGAATGATACTGTAATGTGGTTACTGTGCTCCAGACATCTAAAGAAATGCTAGAAGAGGTTATCCTTTCCCGCACACTTAACATGCTTAAAAGGACATGATAGTAATGCTGCAAACGCTTGCACCACATTTATCGGAACAATAGAGTACGTATTTAATTCAAAATTCTCTCTTTCACAACTGCTTAATACTTCATAGAATTGATATTAAGCAGTAATCTCAATTTGGTTAGTTTGCATGTCAGGGTTACAAACTGAGAACATATACTTCTTTTGAAACGACAAACATAGGAACACGTTGAACACTACAATTTGGTTTGAAATTTTGAAATGTATATTATTAGATTACTTCAATGATCCATCAGTTGCAAGGTTTTTATTTTGTTGTCTTTCTGAGATCTAAATCCCCTACAGTTTGAGAGTGTGCCAAGGTTCTTACGATGCTGCCTTGATCAAGGCATGGGAGGATTGGGATGAAAAGTGTGGTTCAGAAAACGATCACCCCAAGGCATTTCCAGATAACCAGGTTTTTCCTTCTCTACTTTGATTTGTCTAATATCTACAATCTCTTCACTTCCAGTTCCTACATATGCCGCACACATGTCATGTAAACATGATTATCTAATCAAAAGATTCCACTTTGTATAATCGATAAGTCGTCCAAGTAATTTTTCATAAGTTTTAGTGATCTTCTTGAGTAAAAATAATTTTTGTATTATGAGGTTAATGTTACGTACGTAGGGGTTTATATTGCAACTCACAATTTTGCGTACAGTGCTATGTTGTGTTTGTTTTAGATAATGGGGGCGAAGATCTTGAAAGCTTTGTGCTTATGAACACTGATGAAGCACGGAGTTTATTGGTCCAGGTAAATTATATGTTAAAACAGGATTCTAGAGGTGATTCCTGAAGCTTTGATTTGTTATTAAATGATTGCATTTACCGTTCCAGGTTACAGCTTCCCTTGCCGTGGCTGAAGCTGCATATGAGTTTGAACACCGTGATCTTCACTGGTATGGTTATTTTTTGTGTCTATACTCTATCATAGTGACACTGGAATTGCTGACTGGGGAATATGCATTTGCTGCAGGGGAAACATCCTTCTAAGTCGGAATGATTCTGTTACAATCCAGTTGACTCTTGAGAGAAAACAGATGTTTATTCAAACATTTGGGTTGGTGGTATCGATAATAGATTTCAGTCTTTCAAGAATCAGTAATGGTAAATTATTCGATTACTATATAATGTGTTTGATACGGTAGAGGATACATTTACTGTTGGTGTAACATGCTTAACAAACATCAAATATGCGTAGGTGAAGACGTACTCTTTCTAGACCTATCTTCAGATCCTGAACTCTTTAAAGGTCCAAAGGGAGATAGACAAGTAAGGATTGAAACTAAAGTTGCATCAGTAAATATATCTTTTCTTGTATAAAATAATTGATCGTTAATCATTTGCAGTCAGAGACATACCGGAAGATGAAGGAGGTAACAAATGACTGCTGGGAGGGAAGGTATGGTTGAAAAGCGAATTATATTTTGAAATCCGCGTGAATATCTTCTTGTGAAGATTGAAATTTGAAAATTCTGTTCTAAAAAGAAAAACAAAATCATACCAGTGGAAAGCGGAGAACCACATTTGATCTTCAAAATGTTCTGTAATTTTGACAGACTGATACCTGAGGTAAGAAAACTAGTTTGCTTAAGCGTTTTACTAGTGCTGAATCATTGTTAATTGGCTTTTTACAGCTTCCCCAGAACAAATGTACTCTGGTTGATATACCTCGTGGATATATTACTGCTAAAGAAATCATTTGTAAGTTTCTCTCAATCACTTTCAGGAAACTTCTTACCACTATAGTCAATTTATATCGTTCCAAAAAACTACTTATCCTGAAAAGAAATGACTTCGGTTTGAATGATTTATCCTGTGATAGGAACGTTCATCAAAGGACGAGAGAGACCTGCGCTCGTTGAAGAAGCGTCTTGACCAGTGTCAGTCAGCCAGAGAAGCACTTCTTGATCCCTCTTTCAGTGATTTGTTTGTTGATCCTCCTGGCATTTAAGTTACAATTAGGAATGTACCAGATGCTGTAGTTTAGATTAGAAACTGAATGTTTATGCTTCTAGTGAGTAGAAATGTTGTGAATATGTAGTGAAGCTGTAGGGTTCAGAAAAGAGTAATGCGATAGTTTTTGCAGATGTGGGCGTAGCCGCATTATTTAGAGCGGATGTGCTCCGTTTTGCACCTGAGTTTGAATCGCTCAATTTGTGGTTTAGATTGAATTAAATGTAGAACATCTTCCTTTCAAATTGTGATTGTATTGAGCCAACTTTATGAGCAAACAGACAAGCCCACGAAGCAAATATTCTATATAAACTCCTTTTACCCTTGAAATCAACACATGGTGTGATTGTATGACTCTCTCTCTCTCCCTGCTTTCGGCTGATGATCGAGTCAAAGAAGCTGCTTTTTGATTCACTACTTTTGAGAATTTAAGTGCTGCCAAGAGAAGCACAATAGAGTATTCCACATGGGTGTTTGTCCCCACTCAGATTGCATATCCATCTTAAATCCGTAGAAAGATGGTGGCTTTAATGGCATATGTTGAATTCAAAACCCTAATTAGCAGCAGCAGAATCATCATGTCATAAAGGCTGTGGCCACTTTTTTACGCTGTACTACTTCGTATGTGTTCTTTAGTTAGTTTTTTTTTTTTTTTTTTATTCAAAATAATTTTTGAGATTGACATAACTCTTTATTTTGATATTTGATAATGAAAATCGATAGACGTGGTTCCTAAGTTTGTTTACTGTAATACGTCACAATGATCCAAGTAATTTATCACAATGGTCACTTTAGGTACTGTGGTTTAATTATGTAACAAATTTTAGAGCAAATATTTGATTTTTCATCATTTTTGTAAAGCTTAATGGTCCACGTCTCCCTTTTGCTATAAATGTTTCCGAGTTTTTACAAAGAGTAAATGATAGCAATTGTCTCTCAATTTTAATTAAATTGAAGCAATAATCCTTTAACTAAAAATTCATTACTATTAGTTTCTTAACTTATCAAAACGTGTAGCTATGGTCATTTTCAGTCAACTCATGGATTATTGCTCCAATTGGGTTAAAGTTGAGAGAGCATATCCTCCAGTTAGATTAAAGTTGAGGAACTATTGATACAATTTTTCTTATTTGATTTTCTATATTTGCCTCTTGATTCAGCCTCATGTGCATGATACGTAACTCATTTTAACAGAAGTTCTAACAAAGTTGATGAAAATGACTATAGCTACACGTTTTGATGAGATGAGGATCATTGGTAATGAATTTTTAGTTGAAAAATCATTGCTCCAATTCCAATTAAGTGAAAGTTGATGAACCATTGCTATAATTACTCTTTTACGAAAGCAGTCTAATTGTCATTAGGGCAAGCTGTTTGACAAGAGTTATGTGAAATGATTGATTAAGGTGCGTGCTTGGACTACATTTTGCCACCGATTGGAAAATTACCTACTTACCTAGACCCACCAGGCGCAAGGTAAATATAACGACTAGGGCTTTTTTTTGTGACTTTTAATCTAATTCTATGCAGTGCAGTGCATGACCAATAAAAATAAAATCTTTGCAGTGCGTTCTTGTGTCTCTATCGTGCATTTGAGAGTATGGTACTCTGCATCTTCTTGGTAACTTTCACTTACCAATGAACATGCTGTTACAGGCACAACTAGAATTGTGGTCCTGTTGCACCAAACCATACACATTTCTTGACGTCTTGATGTGGAACCGTTAAGTTCTCTGCTAAGAGAAATTCTACTATGTAACCAGTGGTGGATCCAGAAATTAATATTAGGAGGGTCACAAATTTTTTTTTACCAAAAATAGCATGCATATCGTCATTTCATCAAGTCTTGGTAGGCCTGAAGTCATTTGGAAATGCATATTGCACACCTGTTAATGTATGCAAGGGGCAGCACCCAAGGTATCTATGGACATTCATCAAGTCTTGGTAGGCCTGAAGTCAGTTAGAGGGCATGTATGAAGCCAACTCTAATCTTTAAAGGGGTAGCACCCTAAGGTATCTATGAACATTCACTGAAGTTCAGAGGGTCAGCACTCAAGGTATCAATAGACGTTACCAAAGCTCGGAAGGTCAGCTGATCCCCTGCCCCTCGATGCATCCGCCGCTGCATGTAACCGGTGATTTATCACATATTTTTATGATGCGAGAGATAAACAGAGACTTGTGAACTACGACTCCACCCAAGATTTTGGTCTACGGCATGCTCTCTAAACAAATACAATATCACATGCAAGAAGGCCACAAACGCTTATCCGAGAAGAAAATGCCAGCACCTAAAAGTGGATTTCTATGCCTAATATCCGGAAGACTTTATTTATGCATTAATTTTTTGTTGTTTAATTTAATTTATGGGTTTCACTTATCAAAGCACAAAAGCTACTTTAACATGATCCAATCAAAACAAATCTAAGTTCTTTTACATTCCTTTAGTATAGGCCAGATGTTCATGCTGATCTAGTATGAGTGTTTCCTTTAATTCATAAAATCACATCTTTCAAATTTAGGGACAAATTCCAGACCTGAATTTCACACAGCAAGTCCTGAGTTCGATTTATGGTGCTAATGAATTACATGATGGTAATCAAGGGAGGCTCTAATGCCTTCTATGAGTCTTCACAGTCCCTGAAAAAGTAGATTGTCATGACAAAACCACTACTAATCTCCTTTTTGAAAGGAAAAAAAAAAAAAGACAATATCAACATGTTGATACTTTTATTCAGGTCATACCAAGACAATTTGGGATTATTTGTTGTTAACATAATGAGACAATATCGAGATAAAATCAATAGAGTGAGACCACTTACTAACACTAATAAAATGTTATTTGATAGAAAAAGGGTAAACTGCTATTTGACCCCTTGAACTATTATTCCAGTTGAAATTAACCTCTTGAACTATTTTTTTGGTAAATTAACCCCTAAACTATTTGAAATTAGCCAATTAACCCCTTGTTGGTAGATTTCATCCACTATTTCATCAAATTCAAGGGCAAATTAGTCTTTCCATCTTCAATTCTTACTTGTCAACTATAACCACCAATAAATTTATGACATATGAACACAAAATAATGTCTAATGACAATGTGAAATAGTCCTTTATGTAAACGTTCGGGTTTTTTATGTTTTATTATTATGATATATGTTTTACATATTATTTTGTGTTCATGTGTCATAATTTTAATGGTAGTTATCATTGACAAGTAAGAATTGATAATAAAATGACTAATTTACCCTTGAATTTGACGGAATGGTGGACGGAATCTAACGGCAAGGGGTTAATTAATTGATTTAAATAATTCAAAAGGTTAATTTACCAAAAAAATAATTTAGGGAGTCAATTTCAATTGGGAAATAGTTAAAGGGTTAAACCGCATTTTACCCTAAGAAAAATGATTTTTACACATCTATTCTCTTCCCCCGTAAACCTCTTTATTCTTATGTCCCTTTTTTTTTCTTTGATTTTATTCAATTTAAAGATCATAAATAAACGAGGAAGTGCATGAAGAGAAAAAACTTTGCGGAAATCATTTCTTTATTAGTAACACTGCCGACAGCCTTAATCATCATGGTGATCTTAATTAATCTTATACTTTTTAGCGCCAACTTTAAATCTTCATCGGCTCCTCATCTCTCTCTTTAGGAAAGATAAAGAAGCACAAAAGCATCATGGTTTGATTCTTTCCAATGTTTCTCATGAACCTTAGTCACAAAGCAAACTTATTTTCTTCATCATTCGACTCATTTTTGTCACTTTTTCTTTTTTGCCACCTTTGTCTTCATACACTTTGCGCTCTCCACTGGTTTAAATTCACTCCATTTCTACGTGCAATGTTATTAAAAGCATCCCCGTTCACCGTTGCTCGTTAGCGCTTTCAGTAAGGACGCTTATGAATCGCATTTAAAATCCGGCTTAGTCTTTCCTTGGAATCGCAGAAACACCTCACAAAATCATGGCCAATGCAGCTTCTAAGTGCCTATTCTTGTTCTTCCTCTCTCTCCTCTTTTTCTGTTCATCAGGTAAGTAATAAGTTTTTACTTTTTGACACGTTAGTTATTTTGCTGAATCATTTCTTCGGACTGGAGAACATTGTGTACACACTTACTCGAAACGTCACCTATGTCAGATTCCATTTCGATGAACACACTGATCAATTTGAAGTTGGATATGCATTTTTCATTTTCTGATCGGTTCTTGTTTATATAAATTTGGGTTATAACTGGTTACAGCTAGAACTATCAGTTAAAGTAATTTAAAGTTTCTGTCATTTTTTTCCTTTTTTTTTTTTTTTCACATCCAACAGGAACCCTGGTGGGTTTCTCATATCATGCAAGTGGAAACACTAGCAGTTTCATCACCTGGAAGAACATTATCATTCCTGAAGCAAAACAAGATCAACCCGTCTCAGATTCGAGTCTCTGTCGAAGATCCTAGGGTTTTAAGTACTCTGTCCAAAACCGGTGTAGCTGTTGATCTCTACTTGAATGAGAGGCAGGTCGAAAACATAATCAGCTCCGAATCTTCCCCAAAATCATGGTTGAAAACGCACATAATGCCTTTTATCTCGCAAGTAGACATCAAAAGCATCGTAGCAATTAGTGGCAATGATGATACAAGAAAATCTAGTCTGCCTAGGGTTTTATCCAGCCTCAAAACCCTACACTCTATCCTCACTAGTCTTCCTTTCGACCGAAGAATTAAGGTGTCAGTAGCATTTTCTTTGTCATTTCTTGAGAATTTGAGAAGAGGAAATGAAAGAGACCTGCATAGTATCTGTAGTTTTATCAATGAAGTGAGATCCATCGTTATAGAAGCAAACATCGACAAAGAATTGAGCATGGGCGACAAATTTGTTCGGTCATTGATCGAAAAAGCCGGCCTTGCTCATTCCGTTCTGACTTGTAGTGATGTCCCAATGGTTTTGACAATCAAAAGTCCAGCAGTTCCCAATACAACTGAAATGGCTCAATTCGCCGACAAGGTTTCAAAAGCTTTAGAAAACGAAACTCAGATTGCAAGTAGGTTAGTAGGGTTATATGCAGAAGTAGATTGCATGGATCCGGAAGATTTTGCACAGAAAGAGCTCAAAAGAGAAGAGGAACAGATATTTCCTTCTTCCAGCAGAAAACTCCTAAGCGATCTCCACCCGAAAACAACTTCACATGATGCATATGGCTCACCAACAATCTTCCCTACAAATTCAACACCACCACTACCCACAAATTCTCCATACAACTCCCCAAACAATGTCACTGTCCCAGCTACAAACCCGGTAACAATAACTCCAGCTAACCCTGCCACCCCCGTGGAAGTTTCCTCCTCCACACCTCCTCCCTCAAACCCTGTGAGTCCACCATTGCCAGTTACCACAACTCCACCAACTACTAACCCTGCGACAACTTACCCACCGCCACCTGGAGGTGTTCCCTCAACAACACCACCCGTCACGAATCCGATCACACCTCCCGCAACTTCTAATGCTCCTGCAGTTCCAGGGCAGAGCTGGTGTGTGGCAAAGAGTGGAGCACCACAAGCAGCACTTCAGGCAGCTTTGGATTATGCGTGTGGAATGGGAGGCATAGATTGCTCACAGATCCAGCAGGGTGGGAGCTGTTACGATCCAAATTCTCTACAGAATCATGCCTCTTATGCATTCAACAGCTACTATCAGAAGCATCCTGTGTCAACTAGCTGTGACTTTGGTGGGGTTGCCACAATAGTTTCTGCTAATCCAAGTAAGAAAAATATTTCATTCATCAGTACTTTTTGTTTCTTCCATATGATTTATACTATACATCAACTGAAGGCTGGTTGGAGATTTTGTTTGGGAGAGGGTTTTCCAATGCCGGGCATCCAAGCGGTACTCCGCATGTCATATTACAAGTGGAGGAATAATATATTTTATTGTGTCCATCCACGTGAATTATGACATGTGAGGTACCTGCTTGAATACTGGCACTTAGAATTTTTTTTCTCCTTGTTTATAATGTGGTTCCACGACTGAGAATCGCTTTTAAGTTTTTTGTGCCAAACATAGTAAGATTCGGTTTTGGTTATCAAAAGCAAGCTCAAAGAGGACTTAAGACTTTGGGTTAGGCTAATTGGTCTAGGCAATGTGTCCGATCTCTTGCACCCTAGTTCGAATTTCCCTCTTGTAGCATAGTGTAGTTTAGAATATGTACATCTGAGACTAATGTAATTTTTGAACAGGCACTGGTTCCTGCATTTATGCATCATCATCATCATCCTCAACCCCAACAACACCAACTTCGAATCAGACAACAACGAATCCACCACCACCATCAACAATTCCGCCACCACCATCGACAATTTCACCACCAACATCACCAACTCCGAATCAGACAACCACGAATCCACCACCACCATCAAAAATTCCACCACCAACATCGACAATTCCACCACCAACGTCAACAACTCCGCCACCAACACCAACTCGTAATCAGACAACAACCAATCCACCGCCAACGTCAACAACTCCACCACCAACGTCAACTCCACCGCCAGCAATCACATCATTTCCACCACCAGGGGAAGGTGTATTAGGGTATGTTTAGTGTTCTGTCTCATGACTGTCCAACTCGAACTACATTTCCAAGTCTATCACTAATATCACCTCTACTTGCAGCTTTGGTACTCCGCCTTCGGGTTTGAACTCAAGCAACCCGGCTCCTTCAGGAACCATGCCAGAATTTGAGCCCGACAGCCGTCCGTTTCAACCCGGTTTCAACACATCAATATCCACTTCAGCAAGCTTGCAACCGTCTTTTGGTTGCATCCTTTTCGGAACAGCCTTGGTTACAAGAAATATTTTTCTCAACATGTGAAAATGGAATTTCTCCATGTAACTCAATGAGTGATCAGATTCCTCATAAACTCGTTTTCTCTTCATAATCGCGGTTGTACGTAACTACATATGCATGAAACGACGGTAGAGGACACATGGTAGGTACTGTCTTGCATTAGGTTGGGGATGCAGAGATGGTTCTGGGTGAAGTGGAGGTAAGCTTTTCGACGTCAAAACCGGGGCTGCTATAGAAACAACAAATATCTTGAGGTGGAGAGTTGCAGTAGAGATTTGTGATCTTGTATATCTTTTCGTTGGGTATTCTAGTTCTGTGTACTGAGTTGTTACTAATAGAATTGAAGTTAGATTGCTTCATATATTTAGTAAACTAGCGCGGGAAATTCTGCTATTTATCGAAGTAAATTTCGCTCATTTACCTGAATCTTGATCGTAACATCACGGAAAGCTCTGAAGTTTTCGCCTCAAAGATGAATCAAGTGAGAGGGCAGCAACCAAACTGCTACGACCATCAGAGCACCTGTTGGACTTAGAAGATGAGGAAAACTTGAGGTATTAAAATTCACAGAACCTACCTGCAAATTTGATATTCATACGCTAATGTGGTTTTAACGAGAACAACAAAATTGCATTATCTGCTAATGCTACGTAACGAGAACCTCTACAACTGTGGCCTGTGCAGCTACTCCTAATTCTTTGACTAAAACTAAAGTTTCATGCTGTTTATACACGACACTCGACAGTACAATGATTTCATCGCTTTGAGAACACCACCAAGATCAACATGGACATAGACATCATGATTTTAAACCGGAGGTTTCCCAAAAGTTTTGTCTTTCAGCAGCTGCAGCTCCACCGCCACCCTGCTGTAACTGATCTCTGAGCTCTTTCAGAGCCTTGTCTCTCCGCTCACCCATCTGTCGCAATGAATATGTTTCCAAGGTCATGTTAGTCCCAAATATAATGGCAAGAACAATTTAGCAAGGACTGAGAATTTTATTTTAAGTTGACAAAAACAGTGAAAAGAAAACTAACGATTACCCTTTGAAGCTTTCGTGTTTGAGCACGAGCTTCCTGTAGACAAAACTCTAATTTCAAAACCCTCTTTTTCAGTTCCTGATCAACTCGTCGTTGTTTCTCCAACTGTCCAGAAAATTGTTGAACTTCATTACAGATCTATTAACGAGGACCTTATAAAAAAACTGGAGGAAAAGAAAGCACGTGATGGATGTACCTGTGATTCACACTCCTTAGTTTTGAGCTTCCAATGAGCAGACATTACCCTGATTTCATCTTTCAGTTTTGCTATTTCTTCATCCTTCACAACTAAAAGCTTATTGATCTCTTCTTCTACAATATTCTTTGGAGATACCTCATCCAATATTTTCCCGCAGCTCACCAGGCCTTGTTCAGCCCCGCTTTTGCGACAGCTTGCATAATATCCTGCTCCATTCTCAAACTTCATCTTTCAGTTGCTTCTGGGAACACTCTCTAGCTTAAGATCCTTCGGGCAGATTATCTAATTGCTCTCCTAGCCTAATTACACGATCATCTTGCTCTTTTAACGAGCAGTTCTTTTCATCTAATTCCTTCAAAAGTGCTAAACACTGAAGCTGTGCCGATTGAGCTGATGCAGCACTAATATCCGCAGTTGCTTGAGTGGCTGAAAGTTGTGATCTCAGACCATCCAATTCGGTGAGGTACTGCATTCCATTAATAACATTATAGTCAGGGAAATGTGTGCACCAATAAAGTTCACAACCTTAACTACTGAAAACTATGATATGAAAGTAGTTATCTTGGTAGCTTATAAATTGATGCACTGTTCGGAGACAATAGCCAAGGGATGTTCCAAAATACAAATATGTCGGCTATCGGTTACACAATCATCAAGGTAAACTCATAAATTTACAAAATCCAACTATTTTCCAAATCTGTTTGACAAAGCTCTTTATAGCTAATAAATATGGGAGGTTTAACAAGACACTCCCGGTACTGTTCACTTTTAATGAAAAACCACATTTATACCTTTCCCTGGTACTATTCACTATACCTTTAAAAAGGGCTTTTCATTAAAAGGGAAGTTTTTTTGGACTTTTCGTTAGTTTTCCTAATAAATAATGGTGACAAGCCGACTCAAAACTTCACAATACGAAGACATGCAAAACAAGCTTCAAACTAACAGTTATTTACTTGAGTTATTTAACTTCCACACGTCTTAGGTTGGTACTCTCTACTTCTTAATGTCTAGTTATACATAAAAAGTATGTTATACCTCAGTCAGAAATTAACTAAATAAAGTTGAATTTGGATTTCTGCTTTCAGGACAAAAGTTACATGTTATGTCGATGTGTTCTGTTTATAAATGCAAGTACTATGCGCCAGCCTACATGTATATATGCAGAGACTACAAAAATAAATTAGCCAATTTACTAATTAGTTACTAAACGCAATTGTAATGATTTTACGCAGGCTGAATTATTTAACGTGTTGATATGGAAACTGAAACTAATTTGGCTTCTTTGAATTTGAACTTATTAAGACTTCGTCCATTTACAAGGCAAAAATAAAAGACGCTGTGTGTGCGTGAGTGTTATGGGAAGTAGATGCTTATGAGCACAATTTTAATCCCATTGGTTTCTCATTTGTAATGTATCACCGAAGGGAAAACAAATGCAGGCTTCTACTGGAAAACAGTAAGCAAGCCAGCTAGAGAAAACTAAAATCTAAAAACGAAATGGCCACCATACATGCTATAAACAAACCATAAGTTTGTACAGTTCAGAAAAGTAAATTATTAGGAGGGCGAACAACCGTTAGTCCTATATTCTAACACTCCCTCACTTTCCTAGCATACTAAGAAAACCTACTTGAATTGTTAAAGCTACCAAAAAAGAGGAAGCAAATTATACAAAAACATAAAGCCAAGGTCACCTTTTCTCCAATGGGCTCCGCCAAAAACAAAGAGGCAAAGCCAAAAGGCATCCTCAACAAGTCCGGCTTATTTGACAACTTCAAAACAATAAGATGCAATGCAAACAAAAATAATCAACTCGGGATAGAAAATCTAACCACCTTAATTAGTCAATCATGTCCTTAATTAGCCAAGCAATTAAAAAACTAAATGCAAAGTTATACATAATCAAGAAGCAGGAAGCGAGTGGAACCTTCTCGGCAGCAGATGCTGAGACCTCAAGCTGCTGATTTCTCTGTTCCAATCTCTTCTGCATTATGCTAATGTCCTCTTCCAAGTGTTTGGCTTTTGTCTCTGCTTCCTGTAATTAGTACAAACAAACCCAAATGACCCCACAATTAAAAAAACTCCTAAAGAAAAAGAGAAATGATTTCCGCACTCTCCTTTTCTCTTTCTGCTCTTGAATCAATCCAACGACCGCCAATAAATAAGGGCGAGCAGAAGAGAAAAAGGATGTGCAAAAATTAATTCCAAAAACTCGTTTGGATGTGCTTTTAAAATAACTGAAAACGCTTTTAGAGAAAATGTTTTTTGGTTCCAAAAGCACTGAAAGTGCTTTATGCAAGAAGCACTTAAAGTGCTTTATGCAAGAAGCACTTAAAGTGCTTTATGCAAGAAGCACCGGTTATGTGCTTCTTTCAGGAAGCACCGGTTATGTGCTTCTTTCAGGAAGCACCGGTTATGTGCTTCTTTCAGGAAGCATTAAGTGTTTTTCAGAATTTACTTGCATTTTTCGTAATGATTGATTCCAAAAACATTTTCACCAAAAACGCTTTCATTTCAAAAAACATCCAAACAAACTCTTAAAAACCATGTCATATAAAACACAAAAAGAATATTGAAATTAACAACCACCACATGCCTGTCTTGTGAGGGTTTCTTTAACAAATGATTGCTCCTGAGACGCTAACCGGCTCCGAACATCTTTCAACTCCGATGCCAACGACACCACATTCCGGCGAAAACTCTGCTTCCTCTCATTCAAATCTTTCAGCAACGGATCAAAATCATGGACCGACATCGGTGACAGTGATGAGGAAGATGAGGAAGGTGAGCACGGCCTTGATTTCTCCGAAATTGACATCGTAAATTCGAAATCTCTTCAGCTCACGTCAGATTAACGGTGAAGATCCGTGTTGCTTGAAGGACAGAAGATCACAGGTTTAAAGTCTTTGCAGTGAAAGAAGCTTATCCTCTTCATAGCTGCATGTGAAGAAGTCGTTGTGCATTAAATTTTTATGGCCTCCATGAAATTTAAATTTAAAAAAAAAATTGAATAAAATAAAAGAAGTTGTAGCTTTGAAAGAATGGTTTCACGGATTTAACCTCAAAAAAACTGAAAATATAATTAAAAATAATAATTAAGAAAGTTCTACAAGCATCGTTTACTTGAGAAAATCCAGTCCAAGAAAACTGCACATATTTTTCTAAAAAAACAAATAATCATGCAAATAAAACACCTCCTCTCACTATCAACCAAATTAATCATGCCAAAGATGTGTCAACTTCAACTAATAAATATTATTGAATTTAAGAGAGAGAGAGAGGATAGAGAGAGAGAGAGAAGGAGGCATCAACTGTGTCTACTGAATTTAGAGAAATCTGACCTCAAAGTCTCCAATTTGAATACCTTCATCTCTAAATTTCTTCAGAAAAAAAAAAATTAAATTTCTTTATTAAAAAATGAACCCAACACTCAAAAGGTAGAAGCAAATTTAAATTTATGGCTGACCCACAAATTCAATTTCCCCAAAAAAATCAACTTTAAATAAAAACAGTGAAAAAGTTCTAATCTTTTTATAATTAACTAATAATTTGACTACTTCCTAACCTCTGCATGCAAATGGATCCCCAAAAACATCCTAAAAATCCCGAAAAACAGATCCAACAATCTCAGCAAAACATCAACAACACCAACATAAGACCACAAAGAACATCTTTTTCTAGAGAGAGACGGAGAAAGGAGAGAGAGACAGAGAGAGGGGTACCAGGTGGTGAGCCAGACCAAATTCGAGTGAAGAGAGCTGCTGAGCAAAAAACCCACTAGGAAATCTGTCTTCTTCCCAAACAAATGACACAGACAGAGGGACAAGACCTGAGTGCTCTGTTAAATCCAAGGAACAGAGAAGGTAGATCCAACGGACGGTCAAGATTCAGCTCTCGGATACCATCCGACGGCTAGAAATGGAATCTAATTAGGCACCAATAATCCCGTAAAATTAGCGTTGCTTAATTATAATTTTTTTGTCTTTATCCAGCGGGAGTTGCTGCGTTTTGAGCGAAACGACAGAGGCTGATTTGGTTCGGAGTGTCCGAATCTTGGGTTCGTAAATATGACGATTCCCGAAGCCATCGCTTGGTCCTCGTAGGTTTTGAGTTTTGACGCACTGCGCGGCAAATCCAAATTTTCGCCACGGCTAATGGGTTCTCGCCACGTGGGGAATCTAGGAACCCTTTCGGATCTTGCTGTTTGTTTTAAATAATGATGGTCTCGGTTCGGATTGCGGCCCATGCTATTGTGGGCTCTATGTACTTTTCTTTCACCGTCGACTTGTAGATTGGACGGTCGAAAATTAAAACAAGTGTGTAGATAGTATTACATTTTATTTATTTTTTAATCAATACAGTTCACTAACATTTGCCTGATAGCTAGGGTGTTATGTCCGAGGTTCAGAATTGCTTTCTTTCTTTAGTGTGATTTAAAGTAGGATATCGCTTGAATTTTAAAATATGAAGCCAATTTTATATTTATCGTAGTCAATTTGTTTTCGCAATTTAATTTAATTTTAATTTTTATAGTATAAGATTAGATATCTGATAATAAAAAATAAAATAAAAAAGATTAGATAAGTCTTTTTAATATAAAAAACATTGCTTTTGAAAAATCTAATTTGATTAGATAAATTGATCCTCATAACACGTATACTATGGATAGAATTATAGCTCTAGTAAATTAAATTATCTTGGTTAGGGAGGAGAACCAAGTTGATGGCAACTAATAAAGTTAGATGTTGATATAAATAAGGGAATCCTAATTCTCGTCGGATCCTCTTTGTAAGTATTCTGGGAATTTGTGAATTATATTCGTTCATCGTACATTGTGTGGTCAGAAATTATTTTAAATATTTTTAAAACTGACAATAAAATGTATGATAATTTAACTTTTAATGTTATTTTAATCTATAAATTTTTTTACCTTTGTTATTAGGACCCCCTGAGTTTAAAATCCTAAATCCGTCACTGATTGTAGTTAGAATTATAGATGTAGTAAATTAAATTATCTTGGTTAGGGAGGAGAACCAAGTTGATGGCAACTAATAAAGTTAGATGTTGATATAAATAAAAGCAAGGTCAACATTTAACATGGAATGATAGGGATCATGAAAATGAAGCATGTTTGTGTTAGGTAACTTAGGTTAACTAGATTTTGATTTCGTTGCACTCAAGTTAGATATTTTTATTAAATTACATTTTTTGAAAGTGTTTTTAAAATAATTAAAAATATTTTTAGATTAATAAAGTATTTTTTATTGTGTTTGACCAAAAAAGGTGTTTGTGCGTTCAAAAAAGCTCACGAAGTGCAATATCGCTTATTTCAAGAAGCACTTTAAGTGCTTATAAAAGTGCTTCAAGTTTTTGTGCTCAAAATTTTTACTTCTAATAGGAATTCTAGCATAAACGACTTCTAATAGAAGTGCTTTTTTTTTTTTTTTTTTTTTTTTTTTGAACAAACGATATTTTCTATACTAAGGGGGTGGGGGAGGCTAAACCTCAAACTGGGTTAGCAATAATAATGTGGTTCAAATTCATTTTTGACGAGAATCAAACCTAAATCTTCTCACTTACAAATGAAGAAAAATACTATTAGACCGTAGTACCAAATTGAGGTGCTTTCTAAAGAAGTATTTTCAACCGACGCTAAACCAGTGACTTCTTGAAAAAGAAATTCATAAAATAAGTTTTTCGGCCGATGTAGGCCCAAGTCAAGTTGTAATTTATATGCCGGAGGAAGAAGAACAGAGCTTGACCTGATCCGGGTCCATCTTGTTGAAATACGGGTTTTCTTTTCCACCCGTTTCTTCGGAGGACTCTTTGTTTTTGGTCTCAATCTAATCTTGACCGTCCAATAGAATCCAACGGTCAAAAAGTGAACGCAGAGAGAGAACAAACCTCTCTGCATTTCTTCACGGCAGAACACAAACGCTCACATTGGATACAATCTCGGCTTCCTAGTCTTCTCCGAAATCCTAAGGTGTTAATCTACTTCATGTCGCTCTTTCCCCTCAGGTCAGTGATCAATCTTTCCTGAATTGTCGTTTACCATTCGAACAATTTTTACTTTTTACCGGAGTAAATAGTAAAAACTTTTTCATGAACTCTTGCAATGTTCATAAAGCTCCATCCTTTAACATTTTCCAAGAGAATCCCCACCTGGGTCTGCTCGAATGCATATATTTCTGCATCTTCCTGCGCAAAAACAATCGAAATTTTCTCGGGAAACAATCAGGACCCAGAATATTCATCCGACCTTGAACAAAATATCCAGTCTTTGAGGAATAAGCTTGTCCCGGATAACTTAATCCGGGTTCTGGATAACACTGATGATTTGAGCTCAGCAGTGAAGGTGTTCAAGTGGGCTTCCCTGCAAAAACGGTTTAATCACACCGCCGATACGTATTTTCGGATTGTTTTGAAACTGGGTTTGGCTGGAAATGTTGAGGAGATGGAGGGGTTTTGTCAAAATATGGTGAAGGATCGGTGTCCGGGTGCTGAAGAGGCGCTTTTGGCCCTGATTGATATGTTTGTCAGTCATTGCAGGTTAAGTGAGGCAATTAGGGTGCTTGTGAATTTGAAAGCAGGTGGCTTTAGGCCTTCAATACAGATATTTAATGGTCTGTTGGGTGCTCTTGTCAAAGATAAGAGAGATTTTCGAGATGTCTTATTTGTGTATAAGGAGATTGTGACGGCAGGAATCGTGCCAACGGTTGATACTTTGAATTATTTGTTAGAGGCATTGGTGGAGGCCAACCGCATTGAGTCTGCTCTGGATCAGTATAGAAGAATGAAGAAGAAAAGGTGTAGTCCTAATAGTAGGAGTTTTGAGATTCTTATAAATGCCCTTATTGCGAAAGACCGAGTGGATGAGGCTGTTATTGTTTTGAATGAAATGGTTGATCTTGGTTGTCAGCCTGATTTGAGTTTTTATTCCTTCATTATACCTTTGTTTTGTCAGGAAAATAAACCGGATGAGGGAATTAGATTGTTCGAAATGATGAGAGCTTCAAATTTTACACCGGATTCATTGGTTTATGAGGTTCTGTTGCAGTCTTTATGCAAGAACCTTAGATTAGATGATGCGATAAAGGTTTTAGAAGAAATGATGGAAACTGGATTGACACCACCAAATAATGTCTTTGTGGATGTAGTAAATGTGTTTTGTAAATTAGGGAAGGTAGACAACGCGATGAAATTCTTGGAGAATAAGAAAATCATGGAAACTTCTGCCTGCAATGTCCTGCTTGAAGGTTTCTGCAGTGTTGGTAAATTTCTTGTGGCGGAAGATCTACTAGTGGAAATGTCCGAAAGGAATGTGACTAATTGTAATTCTTGGAATATTGTTATCAGATGGCTCAGCGAGAACGGAAGGATTAGGGAAGTGATGGAACTTCTAGGCAGAATGGTGGTTTCTTCTTCTCTTCCGGACTCTGACACATACTCCGCTCTGGTCGTTTGCCACTGCAAAATGAGCAACTATAGAAATGCTCTGGATATATTTCATCAGACTCGTGCCAAAAGTTGGGTTTTGGATCGTACATCTTACTCTGAGCTTGTCAAGGGCCTTTGCCTAGAAGAAATGACTCATGAGGCTACTGAAGTGTTCTGTTACATGTCTAGTAATAGATGTTTCATCGAGCCTTCCTCGTTCAATATGTTGATCAAGGGTTTGTGTGAGACGGGAAAGGTTGAAGAAGCAATAAGGATGCAACAATTGGCCTATTATGCCGGTACTTCTTCTACCAGTTCAACTTACTCAACTGTTATGCTTGGATTGTCAAAATTAGACAAGGTAAAAGATCTGTCGGTAGTTTTCTCAAAAATGCTAGTGGGAGGTTGCAATCTTGATTTGGATGCCTTCTGCGTGCTCATACAAACCATGAGCTTGCAGAATCGAGTAAAAGAATGCGTATTGCTTTTTGATATGATGGTCGATGGGGGTCTTATACCTGATTCAGAGAGACTATTAAATCTACTCTCCTGCATAGCCAACCATTCTCAGTTGCACATGATTTCAGGTTCACTAAATAAACTTATTTCTGATAGTGAAGTTCTAAATTCAGCAATTTACAATGTACTGATTAACGGCTTCTGGAAAGAGGGTTATAAATGCGAGGCCTGTCAATTTTTGGATATAATGTTGGAAAGGGGTTGGGTCCCAGATGCTAGGACTCATGGATTGCTGATGGGGTCTGTTGTTGGCAAAGTAGATAGGAACAGGTTGGACTATGATAATTGCACTGTCCAAGATAGTGTTAGCAACATCCTTGCAGAGGGATTAGATGATGTAACAGGATAGAAACTTCCATCACAATAATCGTTTTATGACCCGTTGGCCGCTCAACTACTTTGGTGAACTGATCTTTTTGCCTCCGATGATCTCTGTTGAAAGTTTTTTCTCCATAATCATTCACACTGAGCCCTTTGTAGCTGTGGTGCTTGCATATATTGTGCAATGGATCAGGGGATATGATTGTTGCCTGCCATGTTCAATAGTTTTGTTCACCTTTACCGAGGTTCATGGATCTCTTCTATATATTCAAACCCTTAACCACGCCAAGAAAGGTACTTTCTTACACCATTATGTTTCTATAGATTCAAACGAAATTGTTTCTTATGAAAATTCTGTGGCGGTTATATTCTGAACAGTTAGTATGCTCAGAATTAACTTTAAAAGTGACATGTTTCAGCCAAATTTTTCGAGCAAGAGGAAAGACGGAAGGTAGAGCAGTGATATCCTATTTGAACTAACTCCTGGGGAAGCTCTGTGTAATCAGAAGTTGAAGCCATTTTAAATTTAGAAGAATCCCAAGTCAGAACCAGACACCAGTACTGAAGTTTTTCCCTGCGACATCTTCGGACCTGACTTCTGCAGTACTTTTCTTGCGGGAAAACGGTACAAGGATGTAATGAGAGGCAGAGGGTGAAGGCTTGGATCGAAGTGGTTGTAGGTACTTTTCCTCCTGTTTTCCTTTCTGTACTACAAATTCAAACTGATGATTTAGCCGGCGGTGTGGAAACTTCAAGTAGGCAGGGACATGTTTAAAGAGCCTCTGCTCGGTATAGAGTGCCTCGAAATCTCAGGGAAAGCTAGCTTTTCCGGGACAAGAACTTGTAGTGTGCGGATACGGTATTAATGGAACAACCCTATACTTTTTTGAATGGGGATGCTATGTTGACAATGGATCTGTTTCTTATATTGATGGCGCAAAGAGTCCAAAATGTATTGTTTCTGCTGCTGATGTTGATACATATCTTGGTGTTGAAGTCCAGCCTATGGATGATAGGGATTCGCCGGGAAAAGGTTGTTACGGCGGCCTTAGCTAATGACTACAAGGTCACTTATGAAAAGAAGGGTAAACAAGATTATCCTTCTCTCTTTTTTTCTTTTAAAGTAGAATATCGCTTGTTTCAAAGAGAAAAAAGTCAGCTCAATGATTTAAGGGTCAAATATATGTGTTTCATCCTTGCTCGGTTTTCGGTTTGTTGGTTTAGTTAGATGAATTTTGATTAGTTGTTCCCAATAATACCAGTCTTACCAGAGTTTGCTTAGAAATAGCTGACAGGGGAAAGAAGGTTAACACCAAATTAAATGCAGTGAAGTTCACTTATTTTTCTCTTCTTTGTTGTCGAATTGAAAAGAAGAGGAAACCCTAAACAAGACTAAGAAACAAGTTCTAATATCTAATGGATTCCGATGACGAGAGGGATGAAGTCCTCCGCAACATGATAGTGATCGGAGTCTCCTTCGTGGTTATTGCCGCGGTTGTGGTGATTGTCGTGGGTGGTGTAAAGAACCCCGATGAGGCCACAGCGCTTGATCCAAAGCCAAGGAACAACTCTGGCATTGATCTTAGTTTTGCCACCGTCTGGCAAAACTGATCACGGCCGGGACTTTGCCCGTCTACTCTCGGTCCCATTGGCAACGATTCAGACTCGGGTGCTGTAAACCATTTTACGGCCTCCATCGACGCAACCCTAACGGTAATGAAAAATGTACAAAAGGGTGCAGTTGAAGAGTGCATGGGATTGATAGACTTGGGGATCAAGCAACTCAAGTTTTTGCTAGCCGTTCGATCAGAAAACTACTTGTTGGGAAGCAAGTCAGGTGATGTTAGGAATGGTCTGGGTGATCTCGTACCAACAAAAATGCCTTAAGCAGTTGCCTTCTAAAAAATTCAGACGATAGGTTGTTAAGCAAGCTTTGGAGAAGGCCATTGAGGTTGGAAGAAATGCTTGGGGCATAATCTATGAGTACTCTGCAAGGCATAATAGGGCTTCCATCTAACCTTTAGGTTAGACTACGTACGCACCTGAAGACGGGATCCCCCCACCAAGGCACCAACCACTCCACCACCACCGCCACCACCAATGCCGCTCATCCCCAAGGGTTGGCATGTTTACAAGCCAAAGGCGGTCTCTGGGACGACGCTCAGCTTCGACCCATGCTCCTGTAATGGCTTTGTACATGGAGGGAGGAGGCGATCTTGGCCGTGCAAAGGCAAGTAAAAGGGAATATCTTCAAACTAAACGCTCAGCATCTTCGTATAAATGAATTAAACATTGGCCAGCTGACCAAAAGGATAATTTACAAGACAAAAAGACCAAACCTACCAAATGATTGGATGCCAAATTCCAATTCCAACTTCCATGGTACCTTCAACTTCAAGTAACTCTAACAACATCCGCCTCCTAATACCTTAATAAATTAACGTAAATCACACTCATTTACCAAAGTTAAACTACCAAATATCCCGGTTAGCAATACAACTATGAAAACGAAGAATAATTTACATAAGCATGTCTACTAAGTTACTAACACATACATTCAGGAACACATCCCACTATCTATTTGAGCTGCTTCTAGTACAGATGATGCCCTAGCCGTCGCCCTATCGGATGCAATCCTATTCACAGAACCAACATAAAAAGTCCATCAATTATTAAGGTATGCTCGAAAAAATAACGCAAACACATTTGCCAAAAATACATTGACGAAACAAATAAAAAGATGCAAAATCTCATAGGCATCGGGGGAACTCTACTTTATAGAATCTAAACGTAATGCTCGTGCAAGTTCATACAGATGACAAGACTATACAATGAAGGCACACCTAACTTACAATGCACTTGAACTTGAATACCAATCCACAGGTATACTCATCAATAAACCAGTGAAAACATGGACGAAATGAAACAACAGGGGTTTCTACTAAAGGTTGATGCTTACCCGACATCTAATACTCTACAATCACTCTTTGCAAGTGGACTTGTTGTGCCCAAGACCCTTGCATCTGCTGCACTGGAGTTGACGCTTAGCCATATCTTGTGATCCATATTTCTTAGTAGTAGGCCTGCCTGGTGGACGCCGGGTGGGCGGAGGGGTTACGGTCACTAGTACTTGAGAAGAAGCCTTCGTCACAGGCATGTCTACATTTGGAACAGGATATATTGGTTCTGAGTATGTCAATCTATAGCTCTCAGTGGTAAAGTATCTTGAACAATAATCATATGGGCTCCTGCCCATGCAACGAATGACAGCAATTGCATGACAGCATGGTAAACCAGTTATCTGCCACCCTCTACAACTACAGTCCCAGCGATCAACATCTACAACTTCAGTGGTGTCACCATGAACCTCAAATCTGCTACCAGTCGACAATAGCACTTGGAGGTTTCCGATGTTCTGAGTTTCCTTTTCTAGCTTTTCCTCCATGGTTGGAGTAAGCCTCGTCAACCATTCATTAGATCCTTCCCTTCTTGTGTAGATCAACTCCATAATCTTACCCCTGATCACATCAACCATCTGTGTTATTGGCAACTCGTGTGCATCCGATGCCCAACTATAGAACAGCTCACCAAAGTTGGATGTCATATGGTTATATCGAGCACCTTGAAAGAATGAATTCGCCCACTTCTGGGGCTCACTTTGTATGATCCAATTGTAAGCCTCCAGTGAGATGCTTTTTATGCTTTCAAGACAACTTTGAAAGTTTTCAGGCCTATGCGCATAAGCAGCACCGTAAAAATCCTCAATCATTAGCCGCTTGACCTCATGAGAAAACTGCCCTTTCAAGTCCCTGATAAGTTGCTCGGTCAAATATCGCAGGCAATAGCCATGATATGAGTCTTTAAATATTTCCGCAATTGATTCCTTCAATCCCTTCTGTCTGTCTGCCACAAATGTCACAGGACAAGATATTGACAATGCAGATTTCAACTGTAGTAAAAACCAATGCCAATTATCATCAGTTTCTGCATCCACCACAGTGAAAGCAACAGGGAATACCCCATCATCCCCAGTCAGCAGCTGTCGCAGCCAACAATGTGCCTTGATATTTTGATTTTAAGGGAATGCTATCCAGGAAAAGGAGAGGCCTGCAACCTTGCTGGAAACCATACAATGAGGCATGGAATGCGACAAAGAGGCGATGGAAACTGGAGTCTTCCTTGGTGGTAAAAGTAGCAAGACTACCAGGGTTTGTCTCCATTATCCTGTCACAGAAAAATGGTAATTGATTATATGCCTCTTTGTACGAACCCTGAAGCTGCTCCTTTGCTATTTCTTTCCCACGCCAGGCCTGGAAGTAGTTTAGCTGTATACCATATTCCTGCTTGATATCGTTCACAATATCCTTGGGCTTATAGTTGGGCATATATTTTAACTTCTCCTTGATAATACTGGCCACCCAACTCCTCGTCGCCTGATGCCCTGTAGTTGCAACAGCACCTTCACAGGAATGTGTTGGATTCATTTTCTTGATACATATTAACTGAGTTGTCGACAACCTTGATGCATGAATTCTCCAAGGGCAGCCTTCAGCCTTGCACTTCACAGTCACACGATGACTATCATTCTTCTTATACCTAAAGGCGAACTGATGCGCAATGGCATATTTGCGCAATGATTCACGAAATTCATGAACGCTGCTGAATCTTTGGCCCACACCCGTAATAGCATTCTGCCACTGGTGTGCACCTTTAGCATGCTTCTCACCGCTAGGGCCAACAAGAGGAAAAATGGGTGATATTTCAGTGGGTATATCAATATGTGCATCAATAGGGCTGGCACCAGTCCACAACATCAAGAGAAGCATCAAGTGGGATATCAGGCTGAGTGGTATCACCCACAAAGTCCACGACATCAAGAGATGCATCAACAGGAACCACAGTTTCTGACAGAGTTGTTCTGCTTGACCTGAAAAATCCATGAAATTCATAAGTCTCATAAAAAAAGAAATTTTTTTTGAAGTGGTATCTAAACTACTAGCTTACATATCAAGAGAACTACCTACTGGGAGGCATGTTCGAGACATCAGGAGGAGCTACTTCCTCCATGACATAAATATCAATGGTTGCAAAATCACCATGAAATTTGATCATGCGCTGGAGATCCTTGTCATTGGAAACAGTAATCAGGGTCTTCTTGTTGCCAGGGAGGAAGTACTTGATAACCATGTTATTGTAGCCTGCAACCAAACATTTCTGTGACCTTCCAATTTAAACTCATCAAACTTCATCTGGTCATCAATGTCAATAGCATGAGCATCTTTGCCCCTATATGACAATGTACCATCTTTCTCTGTAAAGAATTCACCCCCCGACTGACAAATTGCTATGACTCTCTTCACCTCCATGATCTGCCCCAGTCATAGCAAATCGGTAAGCAACATGTTATTACAGTACATTTTATCAGTCAACTGTATACAAATTTCATAAACAGCATAGATCCTCTCTCACCAGACCTCATTTCACTTCACATTACAGCAATCCGTGGGAATTTACCAGCGTAAACTCAAGATTTCACTGCGACGCAATTTCGTTGAGCTTAAAATCAATACGCACTAAACATAAGCTCTCGGACTTTAACTTCTAGTTAGATTTTTCAAACTGATTATGTCATATTTATTTCTCAAGAAAACCACAGAGTAAACCCAAAGGGCTTGTGGCTAAGTTGGTTAAAGGCATTCACTGCTGCACCAAAGCTCCCAAGTTCGATTTCCCCCTCCCCCAATATCACTCGTATCAAAACTAGTCGAACCCAATTGCTCCAAATGCAAGCAATATTTTCAATACAAATACATTATTTACTCTAGTCTCTGAGGTCCCAAGCAGCAAAGGATTAAGCTTAGGCTTTGTTGCAAGTGCAAACTCAGAAAGTCAGCAACTTTCAGACACCCTCAAAGGGGTTCAACAATAAACGAAAAAAAAAAGAAGCAAATGGGTACCAAAATTTCGATCAAAACAAACGGAAATAACACCAAAAATTCAGACTTTAAGTAAAAAAATTCAATCCTGCAAAAGCGTACTCTGAAAACCCTAATTTCCCCAATACCAACACATCAAATCGCGGAAAAACAAGCGAAAATTTGAGATGATTACCTTTCGGAACTGAGATTGTCGTCTGAGTCTCCAATGCCCAATTCGAAGTTGGGATTTTGACCGTGGAATTTGGCTTGCAGCTCTGAAATTTGGGGATGTTTACGCATACGTAACCTACCCAATTTAACCCCAAGAGAGAGAAGAGAGGGGTATGTGGCTATTTGGTTTCCCACCAGTTCACCATACTTGTTTTCCTTCACAATCACAACCCATCCCAGTTTTTTTTATTTTTTATTTTTATTTTTTTTAAGAAAAAAAAAAAAGAAAATTAATTCATTATTATTTATTTTATTTCCATCAACGGCTCAGGTCAAGACACATGTTGAAGCCATTGGGATTTGATTTCAATTTTTTTACTGTTGAAAATCCAACGAACCAAAAAATATAATTGTTGGAAATTTAACTAACTCAAAACGTCCCTCGTCAAGTGTTGTTATCAATTTATAGAGAGTCAATTTTGAGAGAGTCTCTTTTGCATTTCTCATTACAAATTTTCATTAGTGTTGAGGATTATTTTTGGGAGTTTAAGTTGTATGATAAGCTTTGTGCATGCATACCATAAACAAAAAGCAAGAGAAATAGTTTTTGTGTCAAAAGTTAATTTCATGTAACTCGTAATTTTTTTTTTTTAAGGAAATGATACTTTGCAATAAATTATTCAAATATACAGAAGAAAAAAAAAATTCAAGCTCAAGATTACAAAGGCAAACAAATTACTTTGATCAACTGATCTAACTAACATTATCAAGTTGACCTATGTGTTCAAATTAACTGATTTTTTTTTTCTTTTTTTCTTTTTTTCTTTCACAATTGATGCCATATTTGCACATATAAAGTTTGTAAAGTCATGTGCCATTTATGCCTATCAACGGTCACACACAACCTAACTTTTCAAATCAGTAACGTCTTCGTGCACAAGCAAACAATACAGTCACATCGTTACACAGTATTATAACTAAATGTTAATATTGATAGACGATATGATTGATAAAAATGAGTGGAATACTAAAAGCACTTCAAACACAAACGTTTGTGAGCATAAGTACTTCCCATGCCGCCTCATTCTAATCTTGATGAATTGGGCTATTTGCGTGGTTGTGTTGTACTGAAGTAAATAGTTCGTACTCAGCCACTTCTTATTCTCAACAGGGTTATACAAAATCTTAAATGCTCTTATGTACTTAGTACTACGGATGTTTTAACCTGCTAAATCTTAGTTTTTATATTTTTAAAAAAAGCACTCTATATATTTTATCCGGTACTCCGGAGCACCCTATTGTGTAGAATCCTGCGGCTGAGCTCATGACGTCTCAATGGTTGTCAAGATTCTCATGACAGAGAACAACGACCAAACTCGCTTATTTTACCACTAAACTTGTGTGTTTTGTTTCAAAATTTTGGACCTTGGTAGGTTTTAAAAAATATAAAACTAACATATTCTTACATTCACTTTTGACAAGCAATGTTCTAAAATGCTTTTAGTACAAAGAGGAAGATTCAGATCTCGATACAGAAAGATACGCTATTCTAATCAACCCGTCTAACCCACAACAATATTCCACTAAGTTGTAAATAAACTCAGTGAGTCAAACAAAACTACCAACCGTGGACGTAGCCCAACTCGGTTTTAACACTAGATGGAAAATTGACATCGACTGGTGACGGTGCCAATAGTCTATTTAAAATTTGAGAACGTGTGCGGAATATGCCACAAGAATGTCAATCACAAACACGTACTACTTCACCAATTAAAGGTGACTAATACAACATGTTAGATCATGATCAAAGAATAGATATACATTAGTAATACATGATCAAAGAACAAATATACATTAGCAATATCACAAGTGAAAGGAAACCTAAAATAATTACAATAAAGAATTACATTCCTATAATTACGGAGAAGGTTTCAGATGAACTAAATCTATTACGATCACCTGTAAGTCATCGTGATTGTGATCATACATAACAATGATCCTATATTTCAAATGACGCATCAAAATAAGTAAATACTTTTAACCACTTAAGTTATACGTCAAAGAGCCCACAACTCTACTAATCTAAACCACGCATAAGGGAATTCAAACTTTTGTGCAAAGAAGAAAGTACACAGCTCTAGCCAACTTGATTATGCCCGAGCTTGCATCAAAAGTTGTTTCTACAAAGTATTCGTACTTCAAATTCAAGAACAGAGTGCAAATTTTTGGAAAAACATAGGCATAAACGCGCCAGCCGCCAATTGGTGTAGGAGAAAATGAAATGTGGGAGAACAAAAATAAAATTTCAAGCTCAAGCCCCCTTTCAGAGAATAAGAATATGAAGAAGAATCCAGAGGAATATGAATATGATCAGAATAAAATCAGCATAACCCAAAAACAGAAAGTAAAATAGTGGAGAATTTGGAAACACAATCTTTTCTTTGCCTTGCCTTCTAATATTTCAAGATTCTAAGACAAGTTACCTTCCAGATCCATAGCAGTGGGGCCCACAAGGAAACCCTCATCCAAGACTTCTTTAGTTCTTTCTCAAGGTGCAAAAATTTCACTACATAAGCATACCCTAACTAAGTCACGGTCAGGCACAATCGTTTCTAAAAAGTCTTATTTCGATTTAAGTTTTCTGTTTAGATTTTATGAGATAATTAAGCATGCAAATGTCGAAACATTCATTAAACATTTACAACAACAACAATTCCGACAATGCTCAACAGACAGTTATTAACACGTCCAGGAAACCAAACACCAAAACCATGAAGAAATTTGTTTCTGCTTTGATACATGCACTTAGCAGTTTGTTTCTCTACAAGTTTTAGGGATTAATGGTACCGAAACCATTTGCAACTGCTGAGGGATGCAGGCAATGCAGATATAGCCATGGTTGTTATTCATAGAAGAGCTTCTTCGGTGCTTCATTGGACTACAATATGCAGACAGTTACATGTCAAAAAACAACTTACTAATAATTAAATCATGGTAATAACTAAAAGAAACATGGCCCCTCCTTGCTTATCATAAACTGCAGATACATCAGGCAAGAAGTTTATACACAACAGAACTATTAATCTATAAGATTCATACTACATTGAGCTTTTCCATGGACGTTTCTAAACCGGACAGGTGGGAGGAGTAACCTTCTTCCATGGCCACTACAAGTTGAAACAAACATCTTGACCACCCAATGAAGAAACGCAGCTAACCATAACTAAACTTCTGGAAATGGTTGTAAGAGCACTTGGATTCATCACAAAGTTTAACTTGCATTTCAATCACAGTATGAGAAGAAAGAAAATCTGATTACCACACATTTCTAACTAAAAACCATAAGAATGGATGGAAGCAGAGCATACCTCATCAGTTAGAAAGTTGAGCACAAGTAAACCCCTCAGAAACAAGTTGATTAATTGCGTCTCTGAACTTGTAATAGTCATCGACTTTGTTGTACACTTGATGAGAAATTCGACAATACCCATTTATTGACTCAACCTCCCCATTCTTGGGTGGTCGGAAATATATCGGAACTTCAACACCAAACTTCTCCCTCAAATGTGTCCTTAACTTCTCAGTATCCGTCTCATTCAAGATCCCCAAGCAAGCATGGCAACCCAATCATGATCATACTGGCGCACATCTCCGGAGGGCACCCGAGATGTGTTCCCCATGCCTTGGCCAACATCTGCCCCATCTCAACAACAGCCTCATGATTCCTCTTCTTGATCCCCTCAATACCTCCTTCAAACCTATTGATGAATTCCAAAACTGAAGGCACTACCAATTGCGGGCTATAATCCCTATTCCCAACCGAAGCACTTTCTATAGCCAACCCGTTACCATACTCATGGGAAACAACAGGATGGTGCAACTCTGGGCACTTGGGAGACTTCCTACAGTACAAAAACGCAATAGACGGGGGGCAAAAGAGCCACTTATGCAAATTACTAGTATAATAATCCGCCCCAACTCGCTTCATATCGACATCAGTACACCCGATACTATGAGCAGCATCTACAAAAATCTGGTCAACATCCTCTTCCCTACAAATCTGAACTAATTCTTCAACAGGTATAACAACACAGGGCATTGAAGTAATATGATCAATCACAGCTAACCTAACCCTCCTACCATTAGCCTTCCCTCTCACCAAAGCTTTCTTAAATTCAGAGATAATTTCATCATTTGATTTCAAAGGAAAAGGCAAAGGGACTTCAATCACATACCCACCGGCACGCGTCACATATGCCTCAATCGACTTCTTCACGGCGCCATAAGCGTAATGAAGCATCACCACAGCATCACCTTTTTCAAATTTGCTCTCCGAAAACCCCCAGGCCGTCTGCTGAAGCACGATGGCGGCGGCGGTGGTGGCGTTGTCGACGAGTGAGACCTCGTCGACATGGTCGGCATTGATGAGCTCCTTGATAATGGTTCTGGAATGGTGGATTCCCTTCTTAAGCTCGTTGAAGTAGAAACTGGTCGGGCTGGGCGAGGTTTTTGATCTGCCACCGCCGCTGGGCTTCGATCAAGGAGGCGGGGCAGGAGCCGAAGCTTCCGTTGTTGATCCGGGCGACGTTCGGGTCGTGGTGGGAGAATTCGGCGGCGATTTCGGCGGCGGTGATGAAATTTGGGGAAAGTTTAAGTTTTTTGGAGATGTGGGTTTTGGTGTCGCCGTTGATGTGGTGGTCCGGCCAGGAGGCCATTTGAGAATTTAGGGTTTGAAGGGTTAGGGTTTGCGGAGGTTGATGATGAAGCTGAGGAAGAGCATGAAACGTTCAGAGTGAGAGAGAGAGAGAGAGAGTGAAGGGAGGGAATGGTTTCAGCCTTTGGGAGAGCGAAAGGGAAAAGAGAGAAATTAATAAAAACTTTGGTGGTTAAAGTATAAATTAATTTTGGGGTGAAATTAGAAAATGGGAAAAGTGTTTTTGTGCCCCCGTCCGGAAGGGAGGATCGGGATTCCGCGATCGTAACTGTTCATCGTATATCATGCAAACAGTTTTCGTTAGGTATTATTTATATTTAAATTTTAAATTTTAAAATGATTTTTAACCACATGATATATAATGAACGATCACGATTGCAGAATACCTAGAATCCCCAGAAAAAAGGTGTGGCGTTGGAGGTGCCATTAACTGAATAAACTAATCAGGTGGCACCAAATAAGACGCACTCGCTCGAAGACTGGACGGACCATTTCCATTTTGTTTGTGTTCGGTCACGTGACACGCACGTGATTTCCAACCTCCTATTTGAGATAATTTTCATTGTGATGGAAATACCGATGGTACATCACGTGTTTTAATGTAGGTGATGAAAATTTTATTTTTTAAGTTATTAACATTTTAATACACATATCCTATCATTTGTATAGTAACACGTGGTGTACGACCTCGTGTGCTGGTCACATTGAAAAATTTCTCCTCCTATTTAGTATGTCCTTTCATTACGTTACACAGTTACTTCTTTCTTGATTTTCTTGTGATTAGACTAATTGCTTTTCCCTTTTAGTCTAAATCAAGAGAAATGCTCACGAGATTCTTTCAAAGCGGAACTCTTAATGAATTCTTTGACACCTCACAGTCTAAAGTTAATTGTAGTGTCAATATTATAAAATATTGTGTAAAAACTATGAGATGACAGACAGTCTATAAAGAGTCCTAGAGTCACACTTATGAGAGTATCTCCTTAACGTTTCTCTTAAATCAATTAGGCATTGCTACTTACTTTTTCAACTTTATGGAAAGTATAGTTGTGGCCCTGTGGATTAGTGAGTTGTGTTTGCGTTAGTTGCACGCATGAATCGATAATATGTATCAATGGTTGAAAGTTATTAATTTCGCCTCTCATAATGCAAAACTGAAAAAAGTATAATAATCATGACTCTTGAGTAAAGGAGAGGACACATACTATCATACTATGAATCTATGAACATGGCTATGAGGATTGGCTTTATGGGTCTACATATAACTTATAATATATGATGAACTGTTAATTTAGTTTCTGAATTATCACCTAAGTGAAAATTAGGTACCTAAACTATTTTTTTTTTAGAAAAATCAGTCTTTGAATTATAAAATTATGACAATTACATCTCTAATATTAGATTCGAAGCTACTATATTCAATTTTTCGTCCATTTAAGTCACGTTACTTGCATGTGATACACATTAGAGGGTAGATTAGTAATTTTTCATAAAGAAATAGTGTATGAAGTTAACTTTGGAGAGCAAATTAAATGTTAGATTCGCAACCTATATAAAATGTTAATGACTTATAGGTGATAAAATGATGGTATTACATTCTAAAATGTCTCAAGTGACTTAAGTTGACGAAAAATTGGGTAAAATAACTTTGAATAAAATAGTAAGTATGAAATTAGCAAATTTTAATGAATTTAGGGACATATTTTACTAAAAAAAAATTAATTCAGTGACCTAATTTTCACTGAGGTAATAGTTCAAGGACTAAATCGGCACTTCACCCTATAATATATGTTCTAAATGCCATATATTTAGGACTAAAACTTACATTATATGTTTCAACAAATAAAAAAAAAAACAACTTGGGTTACGTTATATCTTCAATTAATTAGGATAGCTTCTCATATTGAGCGTTACTACGTAAGGTCAGATACGACCAGAATACATAAAATTTTATATTTTTATAGATGAGACCGAATTACTTTAAAAAAAATAATAATATATATATATATATATGTATATGTATGCATATGTTGAATTCTCTTACCTAAGTTTTTCTCATGTCTTCGAATGTATCTCCTATATATATATATATATATATATATATGCATTGTATGCGATTAGAGAGACAATTGAACCGATCTTGTTTGCTTCCTATTTGTTGTTGATCCCACGACATTCAATTGCCAGTGTTCATGTCAGTATAAAGTTCAATTAAATTGTTATTTTTTTGGAGAGATTTTTCAGTATGTCACGAACATGGTCATGCCATATATCATTATACAAGTGGAGAGACACTTAAAAAAAAAAAAACTTCTTTTCATTTATATAATAACATATATCGTACTGCACCGCTCTAAACCCGGAATCGAAGTGGGAGACCCCTCTACTGCCTGTGTCAGGGCCTATCTGAAAGAGAATCCAATACTTCTTGGTCGTGAATATCTGAACAGAACGAACCGTCTCGTGGATATCTTTTCTAAGACCATACCGAAGGAGCATGGGGTTTCAGGGAGGGGGAAGGGAGGGACTTACGCTTTTATTAAGCTTAAATATTCCTTGTCTTAGGCTTTCGTAGAAGCTAACATTAGGCTATTGGCGTTTTATCCGCATCTTCCCGACCAAGACCCGAAAGAGGTTCGCTTTGCTTTGTTTGGGATGAACTCGCAAAGACTCAACCCTCGTATTTGTCTCCCATAGAGATACTGATAACCCCCTTAAAGTGCATTGATGCAAACTCAATTAGTTGTCGTTCTAACTGCACATTCTTCCTACTGGGCACATTAAAAATCTCTCCATTTTTGGTCATGAGGTTCTAAATCAACAACTATTTAGCTTAGTCAGCATAAAGAGAGAGAGATAGAGAGAGATAGAGAGAGAGAGAGAGAGAGAGAGAGAGAGAGAGATAAAGACATCTATTACAAGAAACAACATAATCGGTACATTAACATATTTTTGTTTGATTACTACCATCAATAGCTAATAATGTTGTCATGTCAAATAATTTGACATGTTATGTTTTCTTAATTTTCATTACATATATTCAGTTTTAATCAATGACTTAGACCAACACGTCAAATCATAATTAATTATACAAATATGAATTTCAAGCGTATTTCGTGTTTTCTCACTTCAACTCATCTGCACATCTAAAACCACGTTTAAATGATGTAATCCACACAAAGCAACTAATTAGTACATGATTAGTACTAATTTTAGGACAATTGGGATTAACATTTCTATGGAGTTCGTTGTATTATTTTTGCCATATTGTTTTTGCAGTTGAAATTCCGATGTCAATTTGCCAAAACATGAAAGGAAACAATGTCCTTATTCGTCTTTACACTTTAGAGGGGATTTGCAATTCTGCATCGCAAATGGGACATGTAAATTGGGTTGCATAATGCAATTTGGTTTGGGTTGGGTCCCAAATCTCTTTCAAAATTGGAGAAATTTTTTATTATGACGGAAACACGGGGTACATCACGTGTCTTTATGCAAGTAGTGAAAATTTTTATTTTTTAAACTATTAAATTTTTAATACACATATCACACCATTTATATAGTAACACGTGGTATACCATCCAGTGTTCCAATCATACTGAAAAATCTCTCCCAAAACTGACAGTTTATTTATAGGATGGTGGAACAACGGCAGCTATGTGTACCACATGTCATATCCTTACTATCTCCAATAATATGGGCTACTGACCCAAAATTAAAATTTATGGGTTGTATGCAATCCATACAAGTGTCGAGGTCTTTTCTTTCTCCTTGAATTGAGTTTTTTTGGGCTCTTTTTCTTCACGTGGAGACCGAGACATGCATTGTAATTCTTTTGGGCTCGTTTTTTGGTCATGAGTATAACTTCTTTATTAGTATAACTATCACGGTAAGATACCGTTTGGAGATAAAGTATCATTTGGCACGTCAATTTCATTGTACATTTATGAAGAGCAACTTAGATATGTCGGGTACATCGTTATTCTATGCTGTTTTGGTCTAATAATACAATATTACGTGTTAATTTCACTTCACATGACGTTGTGTTCGGACACCACCACGATGGTGTACCCTATCCATCTACGCCCTTCTTCCATTTTTGTGTCAATTCCCTACATCAGACCTAAAAGTTAAGCAATTTACTACTGTAATAAATCAAACTAAGTTGAAATTAGAAAATGGGAAAAGGGGTGGGGAAAGGGGGGGGGGGGGGAGGGGGGAAGGATCCTCGTTATATTCTTTTTCTGTGGATCTTAGGGATCCTGCGATCATGACTGTTTACATCATGTGATCAATTTTCGTTAGGTATTATTTAAATTTAAATTTTAAAATTTAAAATGATTTCTAATCATACGATATACGATGAACGATCACGATCGCAGAATACCTAGAATCTCCAGAAAAAGGGTGAGGATCCTTTTCCGGCGCCCCGGGGGACGAGGGCGGCATTGGAGGTGCCATTAATTGAATTAACAAATCAGGTGGCGCCAAATAAGATGCACTCACTCGAAGACTCGATGGACCATTTCCATTTTGTTTGTGTTCGGTCACGTCACACTAAAAAATATCTTCTCCTATTTAGTATTTCCTTTCATTTACATCACACAGTTACTTCTTTCTTGATTTTCTTGTGATTAGACTAATTGCTTTTCCCTTTTAGTCTAAATCAAGATAAATGCTCACGAGATTTTTTCAAAGCCAAACTCTTGATGAAATTTTTGACACCTCATAGTCTAAAGTTAATTGTAGTGCCAATATTATAAAATATTGTGTAAAAACTATGAGGTGGCAGACAATCTATGAAGAGTCCTAGAGTCACACTTATGAGAGAATCTCCTTAACGTTTCTCCTAAATCAATTAGGCATTGCTACTTACTTTTTCAACTTTATGGAAAGTATAGTTGTGGCCCTGTGGATTAGTGAGTTGTGTTTGCGTTAGTTGCACGCACTAATTGATAATATGTATCAACGGTTGAAAGTTGTTAATTTTGCCTCTCATAATGCAAAACTGAAAAA